TTTTTTTTTTAAAAAAAAAAAAAAAAAAAAAAAAAAAGCGAAAGATTTATGCATCTGGTCGAGCTGATGGATGTTCGTTATGCAGATGCTAATGGTCAAACTTAGTTTCCGAATCCACCCTGAATATACTCTTATCATATCATGGCTGCATCTTGTCCATGAGTACTTTGAAGACCTATTACTGCTACCTATACTAGGGGAGAAGTTTGAAGAGGATTACTGTCTGGAAGGCTCGCCTTTCTGCACGAGTCTTTTTAATCCTGGGAAACAAAATAAGTCATTGCGCCATTTGCAGAGGCTGGCTGTCTTCCTTTTCCTGAGGTGTTCTTTAAGTTTGTTCACCATGAAGGCAAGTCCTGATAAGCAATGTGCATGTGAAAGACTGGAGGCTTGCTTGACCTTCGACCAGAACTTGAATTCAGAATGTTGCAGTGAAAATGAAGGTTTGATAGAGCTCCACAAATGGGTTCGAGCACATGTTCCGGCTGATATCTTTCTGCACCATGAAACGTATTCTAAACAATGTCTGACATTTACCTTGTCCTTCGTTCAGCTATATATGCACGAGGTTTTCTCCATCCTTTTCTTGAATTACTCTTGAATATCTTCAATTATTTTATTGGTCCTTTCTTGTACCTCTAGTTAAATAATCCACGTCTCATCCTTTACAACTTTGCAATTACTACTGTTTTGCAATAAACTTATCTATTAAAATTTAACTTTTTCAGATTTCATTCATGCATGATTTAGAAATATATTTCTTTTTAGTCAGGGATTTGTTCATGAATAAAATAATGTCCTCATTTAGCCAATGAAAAACCTGTCTGGACATCCCTATTTTTTCATATGCTCTTTTATTAATTGACAATTTGTATAACTGATAATTGTGATTAGGTTTCTTCCGTTTTCCTTCTTTTTGTATATTTCTTTCCTCCTCATTTTAAAACCATCATTTGTAGAACCATTAATTTAAATTTATTATTTTTTTGGGGAAAAAACTGCAACAATGATGCAAAATGGGTGGCAAAGCTACGGTTCATAGTTGAAAAATATAATGAATAAATGACAAATTTGTGGAACTTATTACCTCTGCAGTATAGAAAAAGAAGGCTCATATCCTGTAGGGCAGAGAGACAAGATTTGCTAAGTAGCAAGGATTGTTTTGCTTAGGTCAATGATTTAGGAGCAGAGAAAGCGAATGTGTGTGCATTCAACGAAGTCCATACTTCTACCTTATAAATTTTTTAGCAGATGCTATAGATGACCTTCTGACTATAGCTTCTTCAAAAATCTAAGTTTCCATTTCCTTGTAATGGCGAACTGTTTCATGCATGAAGTGAAAATCTTAAAATATAATGAACTTTGTCCTGTGAAGAACAGTGACCGATAGTATTAACAGTAAAAGTGAAATTTTCTATCTATTTATCTATTCATTCTCTCTTTGTTTGGGGATGTCCAGCTAACGTGTACTCTTCTTTCCATCCTTGTTGACTTGACTAAACTGGTCTGGATTGAAAAGGGTTGCTCTTTAGTTGTGGGAGAGATTGCTACCGGTGGGAGACAAAAGAAATAAATGATCTAGTCTGTAGTCATCACCGAAAAATTGATTTTCCTCTTATAGTGGTCAAGCCATTTGACTTGTAAAGAATAAGAATTTTGAAAGTTACTAGCTTCTTTTTATTCTCAAGAAGAAGAGAGTACTCTTCTTTCCATCCTTGTTGACTTGACTAAACTGGTCTGGATTGAAAAGGGTTGCTCTTTAGTTGTGGGAGAGATTGCTACTGGTGGGAGACAAAAGAAATAAATGATCTAGTCTATAGTCATCACCGAAAAATTGATTTTCCTCTTATAGTGGTCAAGCCATTTGACTTGTAAAGAATAAGAATTTTGAAAGTTACTAGCTTATTTTTATTCTCAAGAAGAAGAGATATGATTTTGAAAGAAAGATTGAAGACTTCTGTTGTTCCATGTACTTTTTTTCCCTCTTTTGATTATGATGTCTTAAAAGAATATGTTCTTTCCCCATTCTTTTCGCACATGATTGAACTTGTCGGTATCAAACAATTTCACGTCTTAGTTCAGTGATGGATATTGCACGGCCTTTTGATTTTCTGGATCAGGAATACTTTACATGCCATCAAGTTGGTTATTTATTTCATGCCCTCAGTTAAAAATAAAGTAAAAATGAATTCCATTTTCGGTAGAGTTTCTTAGAAGTGGTTCATGAACTTCCAATACATGTCATATTGATGCTAGTATAAAAGATCGACTACAATATTGAAACGAGGTTTGTCCACCTTTATCTTCTCTCTCTTGGTGTTCTTAATAGGAGGGACAGCCCTTAAGTGTGCATGCCGGGCACTGTGGGTTGGGATATCATCAAGCGATTAGGACAGAGGCTTACTGAAGTTACACTGTTGTGCTTAATGGAAGTATCATTAAAAAGGAATGTAAATATCAAAGGATCATATCTTATTTCGTGATTAGATATTCTGATTTCTATCGTCTGTTTGAGTTGTAGGATGATATCCTATTTGAAGTGCTCTTGCAACTGTTTTGCATGCCATTTCATCCTGAACCTCGGTAAGTGATGCATATATCAGTGTCTTGGATCCTTTTAGTAGGTTTTTGAAGTATTTGATGAGGATTTCTGAATGAAAATTGTAACTATATGTAGAATTAGAGGTGGGATTCACTTGGAAGTGAAGAATCATAAGTTCGTTCTTGCTTCAGACTTATTTAATCCCATACACATATTTCATATATTCCTTGCAGAGGTAAGTTCTTTGTGTTAATTGAATCCCAAATTCATTTGTGCACTTGCAAGTGCTTTCATATTTTTTATTTCATTTACCTATGGGGTGTTACCGTTAAAATGTTGTGCCCACTTACCTCCCTTTCAGGTACTTTATGATCACCAAGTACTTCTTGATTATCTTATCTCAAAAGACACAGGTGCCAGCTGTGCTGAATACCTCTTGAGGTATGATTATGAACTGTTTTTCTGCTTTGAATTATCTTCCGTGTAATGTGCCAGGACTTGTTGTTTTTAAAATGCATTGAGTTATAGATTGATTAAAGGTTCTATTGCAAAGTTCAACACCCGTATAACCTGCATATCTGATTACCATGTTGATTTTACACGGTTGCTAGTAGGTCCTTGCGAATAGTGTGTGATTCCTGGAATTTGTTCGTTGAATTTCCGGAAATGGAAGAAGCTAAATATCTCTTATGTTCAAAGAGAAGACAAGTTTTAACAGGCAGTTTGGATTCCAAGGAAGTTTTATCCTCTCGACATGTGGAAAATGACGGCGCTCCTTCATCACTTGAAACAGAATATAAGAAAGTCCTGCTATCTGACAGTAAGCACTGCAGAAATTATAGACTGCCATTTGTTGCTGCTAGGGATTGTTTGGTTTCACTAAGAACATCCATCGAAAATCTTTGCCAGAAGAATCTATTTCCATATAATCCACAAGCCCTTCTGCTTCGGTATGTTGTTTTATCTCTTATTTTACTGTTACTTCTGTTCTATGCATACAATTTGGGCATTGAAATGATGAATTATTATGATCTCTTGATTACTCATTGTTATCTAGATAGAACAGAACTCGGCTTTTATTGAGATTTCTTTGGTACACGATAGTATTTCTCTGTCAGGCATTCCTTTGCATTGGTCTTCATGATATTATATTAAGTAGGATGTGAAGTTAGAGAAACTGTTGGAACTTAAAAAGATTCGGCATTTTTCTTCTTTGTTAATGTACCCTTGCTGTTGAGTTTCCATTGGGTGATTAACTTTAGAACTTCTAGTTTTTTCAAATTAGTAGTAGTAAGTTTGCTTAAATCTTTTTAATTCTTCTTTAGAAAGGTATTTTTCTCTTCTTTCTTTCTTTGTTTTCTTCAGTGAATATGCCCACCTTGTACATATTATTATTTTCTTTTTCTGGTATCTATATGTTCAAGCGATAATGTGATTTCAGCCCTATCCATTCTTTATACTGGCATTTAGTGCAATAAATGTTGCAAAATGCATTATGTTTTATGAATATTAGAACATGGCTAATTGTTTTGGCATTGAGTTATGCAAGCCCTTGCGATTATTTGGAATTTGGTGATAGAATATTGAAATCTGAAAAGCATTCACTTCATTAATGACTTCCATAAATTTACACAATTTTGAGTGGATTTTCAATCTTCAGATACTAGAATTCCAACATATTTGTTTCTCGAAAAAGTTTTGGTCTGAGTTGTGTACATTCTTGCACATATTTCTACAGTCTAATTTAACTTCTAGAAAGAGTTATATCCTGTCCTTTGGCTACTACGTTAATATACTATTTAAGATGAAACAAATGAGCTGCGAGTCTCATTATTAAATCTTGCCTTCTTATTGCAGTTTAATGAGATTTCATGAGCTTTGCTTAAGCAATAAGCAGTAGAAACTTCATTCAAGAATATCATCATGAGGTCGCTTGTGTTTCTTGCTTCTTTGTGGTGGTCTAGAATTATTGTGAAACTGAGACTGGGATTCACATTTACAATCCCACTGCATTCAAATTATCAGAATCCAACAAAGCAATGGGTGGGGTAGGATATAAAGAATATGGAGGTAAGACTTAAACTTTCTGAATGAATCATTGTCCTTTGCTTAACGACCATAAATATTTTGTTTGGTATATGGAGAATTTGGAGGTAAGACTTCAACTTTCCGAACAAATCATTGTCCATTGCTTAACGACCATAAATATATTGTTTATTGGCTTCCTTCGTACATGCTATACACATGACGATGTTAGGGATCCTTTCAACTGCTCCTATATAGTGTTTATTTTCTGCCCTGTCATCCGTTAATGGTTGTATCCATATGTATCTGTTAAGCTTTGCAGTTGATATTTTACATGCTCTAAAGAGTCCAACCAGTGCCATATAGGGGCATATGAATAGGTAGCCCACAATTATGGCAAATATGATGTGCATTTAAAAAGTTATCTATTATGACCAGAATATGCCACTGAGAATTGCCTAAAAACCTTAAATCAGTTGTGTACAAAGGACTTAAGTTTATGATTTCAATTGAAAATTGAAGCAGTGAGGATTTGGGAATATTTTCATATGTATTATTGATCAGAATGAATACATATATATACACAAAGATCTGAAAATCAGATCCTTAATCAGCTCCTAGAAAATAGAAATTACCCTATCTATCTATGGTATACAAAAAATCAGCTAGAAAAATTAGGAAACTAACTCCTAATATTCAAACCATAATTATAGGAAAATAATTACTTCTCTAATTGACTAGTTTGTTTTCCTACACTCCCCCTCAAACTAGGCGATATATGTTTATTAAACCAAGCATAGAACTTAGTTCAATGAAGTTGGGTCGAAACAAGGCCTTAGTTAAAATATCTGCTGCTTGCTGTCGAGAGGACACATAGTTGAGAGAAATCACGTTGCCTTCTATTTTCTCACTGATGAAGTGCCTATCGATCTCAACATGCTTCGTTCTGTCGTGATGAATTGGATTTTTGGCAATTGCAATTGCTGATTGGTTGTCACACATCATCTTAATAGGATTTGAAGTTCCAATCTTGAGTTCACCTATCAGTCAATTCAGCTAAATTCCTTCACATATACCCTGAGCTAATGTTCGAAACTCGGCCTCGGCACTGCTGCGGGCTACCACTTGCTGTTTTTTACTTCTCCAAGTCACCAAGTTTCCCCAAACAAATGGGGACCCGGCCCAGTCTGCATCTGTGTAAATTTCAAGGGATTGATTAAGTGTTTTCCTGAACATTAACCCCTTTCCAGGATCCTTTTTAAGATACCTAAGAATCCGACTCACTGCCTCCATGTGATCCACTGACGGATTACTCAGGAACTGGCTGACAATACTAACTGCAAAGCTTATATCCGGGCGTGTGTGTGTCAAATATATCAGCTTCCCCACCAAGCGTTGATATTGTCCCTTATCCGTTGCTAACTCTTCAGTCCGAGGCATCAATTTGGTATTAGGGTCCATAGGAGTCTCAACCGGCTTGCAACCACTCATACCGGTTTCGTACAGAAGATCCAAAACATACTTGCGTTGTGAGACTGAAATTCCTCTATTTGACCTGGCCACCTCCATTCCCAGAAAATATCTTAGATGTCCCAGGTCTTTGATTTCAAATTCCTTGGATAGTAGAATCTTAAGTCTTCTCATCTCTCCTTCGTGATTCCCGGTCAGAACTATATCATCAACATAGACAATCAACACTGTGGTTCTCCCATCTGTGAAGTGTTTGATGAACAATGTGTGATCTGCTTGAGACTGTGAGTAACCATCCTGTTTGAGCACCTTAGTGAACCTTTCAAACCATGCTCTGGGTGATTGTTTGAGCCCATACAACGCCTTTTGCAGTTTGCACACCTTTCCCCTTGTTTGCTCACTTTCAAAACCAGCTGGTAAATCCATATAGACTTCCTCAACTAGGTCCCCATTTAGGAAGGCATTTTTCACATCAAGCTGAAATAGAGGCCAGTCTTGATTGA